TTCTCTTTCTTTTTTTTCTTTTTTTTTTTTTTTTTCTTTTTTTTTCTCTCTCTCTCTCTCTCTCTTTCTCCTCTCTCTCCTCTTCCCCGTCGGCCTTTGCTGGGATGGTGGGGATGAATGTTCATCGTGCTCATTGGACGTTCTTGTGCACCCTGGGGAGGGTACCCTTGGATTCTCTGTGCATTTTGGCCGGCGGAGGGTCCCGTGTTCTTGAGGGGTGCTCTTCTGTCCCAGGTTCGACTGTATCGGGCCTTCGGGCGGAGGAGACAAAGTGTGGGGGGCTCAGTCTCAGGGCTCCAGCTTTTCTCAGGAGGGGAAAAAGCACAGAGACACAATTAATCGTCGACTCTCAGAAAATATGGGAAAATATGGGAAGTGAGGGGGAAGACAGAAACACAGAAAATATGGAAAAATATGTGCAATCCTTTTATTTGTGTGTATTTATTTGTGTGTTTCAGGGCCCCTTCATTTTCGGGTGGCCGAGATTCGAGAGGTCATCGGGCGCGTTCGCTCGAGCGCGGCGGCCTCTCGGCCTCAGGATGCCCTTCAGAAGCTGCTCGTCGGGGGAAAGCTGCCCCTCCAGAGGCAACGTTAGAGGGAATAGGCTCAGGGAGTGGTTCGAGGCTCCAGATTTTCCGTCGTTTTCGTATGTTCTCGGCCGTTTTCCCGCCTCGGGATGCCCTCTGGAAGCTGCTCCTCACCGAGAGCATCGGGGGTGCCGGATCTTCCCGAACGGCCGCCAGAGGCCCGAGTGCCCGAATAACCGCCGCTGACGGGATTGGCTCACAGGGGGACGCGTCGACCTCTACTCGCCCAGTCATCGCTGATAGGGGGCCTGATGGCCCCATCCCGCCCAGGAGTGCGCGGGTTCGCTGTCGGGGCCCATCTCCGATCTGCCGGCGATGTGGCGCCGATTTCAGGTCGCCGTCTCCTCACTGAGCCAGTCTCTAGCTCATGTTTCCTTTCATGTAACTGCCCAGAGTACGGGTGAAGGCAACTTCAAGTTAACTTCGGCGACGTCCAAGCGTTCCAGGTACCGATGCGCGCTGGTCTGTGTAATCCCAGGGGTTTTCGGATATGTCATTGGGTTGCCCGAAGCTTTGGACGTTCTACAGTTGTTCAGTTGGTGTTTCGTTTACTTGTCGAAATTGTCTGAAGGCTGTCTCTATGTATTTGGAGGAATGGGGAAGTGGGGGGAAGCAGGGGTCAGGAGAGTGGGATCAAGGAGAGAGGGAGGGACAAGAGGGTGTGCTCATCGGAGGTATGGGGAGTCAGGGAGGCGGGGAGGAGGAGGGCAGAAGGAAAATTGATAGAAGTGAGGGAGGATGAGGGATGACGGAGAGGGGGTGAAAAACGGATGGCACGGGATTGAGAGCAGGGAGGAGGGAGGGAGGAGGGATACACAAGTGCATGGAAGAGGGAGGCGGGGAGAAAGAGAGGGATGGAAGGCGGAAGGTCTGGAGGCAGGAACGGAGGGAGGATGAAGACGAATGAAAAGAAGGAGAGACGACGAGGGTGATGGCGGATGGATGGGTAGCAGGGGAGGGTGGAAGAGGGAGGCAGCGAGAAGAGAGGTACAGCAGATGTGGATGTCCTTGGAGTCCGTTTTCACGGGGGGTGACATTGCCAAGCAGATGCCCATGGAGGCGAAGAAGTTCTCCCAGATCGACAAGGACACCTCCTCTTCATTATCCTCCTCGTCCCTTCTCTCTTCATCCGTACTCTCTTGTTCCCCAGCGTTCTGCCTCCCGGCGCGGCTGGTTCTCACGTGACCCCTGGAATCCTCCTGCAATAATTACTAATACGTGGCTGCACCCGCAGGGCGTGGTCCTCGGCGAACGCGCGCATTGAGTCTGAAAGCCTTCTCGCTATGCTTCTTGTTGATCTCAGGTCCCTCCCGCAGCGGCACGGCCCCTCAAAGAACATTATGTTGGAGGTGTGTCACAGCACCGCTCCATCATCGTAGCCGCCCCGACGTTCTCGAAGACTTTGGCTCAAGCTGCTTTGGCTCGGCGAGCCAAGCCAGGTGCGTGTGTGTGTGTGTGTGTGCGTGTGTGTGTGTGTGTGTGTGTGTGTGTGTGTGTGTGTGTGTGTGTGTGTGTGTGTGTGTGTGTGTGTGTGTGTGTGTGTGTGTGTGTGTGTGTGTGTGTGTGTGTGTGTGTGTGTGTGTGTGTGGGCGTGCGTGCGTGCGTGCGTGCGTGCGTGCGTGTGTGTGTGTGTGGGTGGGTGTGCGTGCGTGCGTGCGTGCGTGCGTGCGTGCGTGTGTGTGTGTGTTGTGTGTGTGCGTGTGTGTGTGTGTGTGTGGGTGTGTGTGTGTTAGTGTGTGTGTGTGCGTGTGTGTCTGTGTGTGTCTGTGTGTCTGTGTGTCTGTGTGTCTGTGTGTTAGTGTGTGCGTGTGTGTGTGTGTGTGCGTGTGTGCGTGTGTGTGTGTGTGTGTGTTAGTGTTAGTGTGTGTGTGTGTGCGTGTGTGTCTGTGTGTCTGTGTGTCTGTGTGTCTGTGTGTCTGTGTGTCTGTGCTCCGCTCCGGCCCCCTCACCGCGCTCGCGGCTTACCTGAGCGCGCTCGCGGGACCCTGGCGGGGGTCCCTGGTGCCGGCGCGGCTGGCGACCGACCCGCCCCGGACCCGCTTTTCGTCCTGGGTCGTTTTTTGACGGTCCCGAGGCTTGGGAAGGGCCCCCCTGAGGCCGAAAACAGCAGGTGGCACGCGTGCTCTGGCTCTTGCACATTTGAGGCGAGGAGTAGGAGGAGGAGGAGGAGGAGGAGGAGGAGGAGGAGGAGGAGGAGGAGGAGGAGGAGGAGGAGGAGGAGGCGCAGGTGGGGGATCGAGGAGACAAGGAGGAGGAGGAGGAGGAGGAGGAGGACGAGGAGGAGGAGGAGGAAGAGGATGCCAAGAATAACGAAAAACCTCTTGTCGTGATTTTTTCACAGCGCGAGGTGCTCTGGGGCGGCGGCGTGCCTCCCCTGCGTGTGCCCAGGCTGCCCGGGGTGCGCTTGCGCTGGTCCTCCTGGCGCTGTTCCGTGGCGCTGGCGCATGCCCCGCCGGCCCGTTTTCTTCTAGCTGCGCGGGAGCCCAGACCTCCTCGCGCTGTGAAAAAATCACGGCCGGAGGTATTTCGCTATAGTTCTTTTCGGCTCCCGGGGGCCCTCACTGGGCCTCGGGGCCGTCAACAAAACGATGCAGGATGAGAAGCCGGTCCCGGGGAAGGGATCCCCAAACCTCTGGGAGTCGACGTGGTGGCAGAAGGCACGACGCTGGGGGTCCGAGGGAGGGTGGGTCTCGGCGTCCTCTTATCCTCGGCGCGCGCGGCCTCCTGGCTGCCCGCGTTTGTCTAGGCCTACCAGATGGGGTCGGAGCAGATTCGGGTATGGCCAGGACCCCAGGTAAGGGGACCCGGTTAGTGGTAGGGCCCCAGAGCCTTTGAATTGGCCAGAATCACTAATCCAGGTTTGCCATAGCTGGTGTTTTTTCGGGTGGCGGCAGTTCCGATTAGTGGAAATGGGACGGGGGGGCGCCCCCGGTACAGATCACTAAACCAGGTTCCATTAAACCCAGTTCTGCTAACGCCCGATAGATGGGGTCGGAGGATCTCGCCGCATCGCCGATGCATCGGCGATGCGGCTCGATGTGGGGCCCGAGCTCCTCCACGCCCACGTCGCTGGTGCATCATCGACGTTGCCGGTGCATCGCCGATGCCTCGCCGACGCCTCGTCGATGCGATCCTCTGACCACACCTGCCCTGACCTTCCAGAGTGCTACACAACTGGCCCTTCCGACTCATCGACTTATTTGGATTGCTTAGAACCTCGGCGGGAGTTGCGACGCCGAGGTCCTGGTGCTACTTGTTAGCCCTCGTGGAAGGTCAGCGGCAGGAGGCCTCCAGTTTGCCGGCTCCGGTCTGCCCCTGGCGGTCTTCTGGCTCTGCTGGCGCTGGGTCTCTCGCAGCCCTCGGGGGCGACCGCGCTGGCGGAGGGTGGCATTTGGCGCGGCCGCGACCGCGCCGACGGAGGGTGGCATCTGGCGGCCGACTCCCCGACTCCCCGACTGGCCGACTCCCCGACTGTCCGCCTCCCCGGTTCCCCGACTGGCCGACTGGCCGACTGGCCGACCGGACCCAGAGATCCAGCGCATATGGACAAAAATCAGGACGGAGGGTTTCCGCAGTTTTCGGCCTCCAGGGGCCCTCGCCGGGCTTCGGGACCGACCAAGAAAGATTCAGGATTGAACAGCGGCCCCAGGGAAAAGGGGTCCAGTCCAGACCTCCTGGGGGTCGACGTTGTAAGCCAAAAGCATGACGCCGGGTGCCTGGCTCTGGCGGCCGCGGAGCCGCAGGTCGTGATATGGCGGCCGCCCGGCAGGTGGCCCTGCAGATCGGGGCGCCGCAGGCCGCGGTGAATTACGTACCGGTCGTTGAAAGTAGGTATTTCTGGATTCCCAGATCCCAATCTATTTCAAGCGCCTTCCTACTTCAAGGATCGGCATGCTTTTGCTGTGTTTGCTTATTCTCTGGGAGGACCTGGACCCAATCCACTGTGTCCGCCTTCCTACTTCATGTTTTCACCTACTTCTTCCGTCCGACGTGTACGACGACGACCCCAAGTGTCGTTGGCATCGCCGCGTTCTCCCGGCGAAGCTGGCCGACGGCGCGAAGTGAGCGACCGCGACTCCGACCCGCGCGGTGCAGGTCATCGACCTCGCCGCCCACCTGGTGGTGCCGTTCGACCGCGCGTGCCCCGTGCCGGAGAGGGTCCGAAGGAACGCGTTGGTATTCGACCTTGGAGCGAGGGCGAGGTGACGGAGCTACAGCTCCAAGCGACGGCCCTCGCAAGCCTCTTTGGCGGGTTGGCTCAGGCCCCGGGCAGCGCGCAGGCCCAGTGGGTCATTCGGCCAGGCGGCGGCGAACGCGGTCGCGCTGAACCCGACCAAAATTCGTACAGAACGGGTCGGTCGGCCTGGCGTTCATCGGCGACGACCGCTGGACGGCTGTGGGGCGGGTGTTGGCGGCCGGCCTCAACGCATGGCTGGAGGAGAATCGTTCGGGGGCTGGCCGCGACCCCCGCGCGCTGGAGATGCAGTGCGGCTCGCGCAGCCAGCGCTTCCTTAGGTTCCGCGAGGCGCTGGCCGAGGTGAGCGTCGGCTTCCTGCCGCGTGGGCCGCTGGTTCGCCAGCTGCAGGCAGCGGCGCCGGCGATTGGCCCTTCTGCGGGCCCGCAGCAGCCCTGGAGCTCTTGACGAACATCCAGGCCAGCGGTGAGGACGTCGCGGCGTACCACGAGGGTCAGGCGAGGCCAATGACAGCGCCGTCGCTTACCATCATGCCTCCCTTGTGTCGGTGCTGCACCACCTGGTCTGCTGGACGCGTTCCAGCTCGCGGGGGTGGAGGCGCTGGCGCGGCGCGCGCTGCCACCTAAAGGCCCCCGACCCCCAAGGGCTGGAGGTGATGTTGGCCAGGCGCCTGGACTCGGTGGCGCCTTGTACGAGCTGGGCGCGGCGCTGCGACGGGACATCGACGACTGCGGCGGGGGCCTCCAGCCCGGCGACCAACCGCAGCAGGAAATGCCGAGGGCCCAGAGCGAGGTCACCGGGCTTGCGCCGATGGTCGACAGCTCGCTCGTGCAGCCGCGGCGCCGGCGACGGCCCCCGGCGGGGCGCTGGCAGCGCGGGGCCACAATCCACCGCGAGGAGGCTCGGGCAGGCCTTCTTGGTCTGCATCGCGAGCTGGAGCTCCCGAGCTGCGGCGGCCACGACCACCTCAGCTTCGGGGGCAACCTCTCGGAGACGCTTGCCTTCGACCGAGGGTGCGCCCGGGGCGTCAAGCAGCTCGGGCTCGCGCGCCACTCGGCTGCGGCTCAGCTGTCGGCGGGGCTCCACTGGCACAGGCGCTTCGTCGAGACCGAGCGGGGCCCGTCTGACTGGGGCTCGCGGCTTGCCCACAACTGGCGGTTTCTTTCATGCCAGAGGGCGCGCGACGCGGCCTTGCGCTGGCCCATGCTCAGCGCCGCCGTCGAGCCAGGGTGGGCGCGCGAAGACGCGGATGACCGGGGGCGCTGCGACAGCGCGGTGGGCGAGCCACGCGAGGGCGACCCAGGGTAGGGGGAGGGGCGCGAGCGCGACCCTTACCTGGCCACACCTCGCTGCGATTTTCGCCCAGAGCTTTCAAGTGGTCAGGCGGCCCTCGGACCCGCCAGTGCTGCCCTGCCGAGCCTGGGGGAGAGCGCTGCGTCCCAGCTCCGCGACAGGCGCGGGGCGGACAGCTGCCGCCCGCGGCCCGCCCGTTGCCCGATGTCCACCGGGCGCGGCCCGCCTTCCTGGCGGCGTTCTCGGGATGCGGCCGGGCGACGGCCGCCGCTGCTGAGTTTGGACTTCCATTGGGCGCAACTACCCATCGGCACCGCTCATGGTCGTCATCATGATGTGCGTCATCGCAGAGTTGCTACAGAGGTTGGTCGATGGATTCGGGCAGGAGCCGCGTGAGTTATCCTGGACTCTGGCTCCTTCTGCGGGTCTGGATTCTCCACCTTCGTCGAGGTGCGTCCACTCCACGTTGCGCATCCTGGAGCTGTCCCACCGCCTTGGGGGTGCTCGTGCTGCTCGAGAAGCCCGCGCGGTCGCGGCTTTTCGGGCGCTAAGGGGCGGCGCGGACCTTGCGGGAGCTCGGCGCTGCGCACCTCGTCTTCGACACGTGCGCCTTCGACGCTGCCCGGGAGACGGCCGCGGCGCTCGCCGTGACGCTTGCCGCGGGCCGATGCCTTGCCCCGGCGCGTCGCGCGCCCACCTCCAAGGCGAGGTGCCGCTGCCGGGCGAGCAGGTCGAGACGGCGCACCGCTCGCGCTGCGGCTTACCCTCCCCGGACCGTCGACGTCGTGATGTTTCGCGCAGCGTCGGCCCCGAGAGGTCCATGGACCTCTTCCCCCATGGCCGTTTTTCTGTGCGGAGTTGCTCTCTGACGGCCTCGAGGCCCGGCGAGGGCCCCGAGGGGCCAGGCACTGCGACGGACCTCCCGTCGTGCTTTCTCCCCGGCGCAGGGAGGTCTGCAGTGGGCCGTGGGCTCTGCCGCGCTCCGGCGGAGGGTCTCGAGCAGGGCGCCCCGCCGCGCGCCCGGCGGCGCCCCCGCGATAGGCCCCTCGACGGCCGCAGTGGGGCGGCGTCGGGCGGCCGCGGCGCGGGGCCGAGCTCGGCGGGGGGCCGGCGGCGCGCGGGGCCCCCGAGACTCGGCTTGCGGAGTCGGCTCGGCTGGGAGGGCGCGGCCGAGCAACGGGGCGGGGGCGGGGGCCACGGGGCGGAGGGCGCGGTCGAGCAGCGGGGCGGGGGCTACACTCGCCGCTCGCCGCCCCTCGTCGAGCCCGCCGAGCTGCGGCGAGAGCAACGGCGGCGCGCGGCCGCCCGAGAGCGACGCCACGGGGGCGAAGCTGGAGCCTGTCGACGCGCGCCTGTCCCACCAGCCGCGGCATCGTCCCACCGCCGGGCCTTCCCTGGTGTGGAAGCCTGGGCCAAGCTGCGGCGCAGTCAGTGGCACAGCCCATGGGCAACCTCATGGCGCAGTCCTCCTCCTCCTCCTCCTCCTCCTCCTCCTCCTCCTCCTCCTCCTCCTCGCGACGCGTGGATGCGCGGTCTGGCGCCTGCTGGGACAAGGCACTGGGCCGCGACTTGGACAAGCTCTTCCTCCGGGGAGGCCCGGCGAGCACCGCCGGGCACGCCGCCCTCGGGTCCGTAGCACTGCCTCGGGCTGCCCGCTCGTTCCCCGTCGACGCTCTCCTCGGCTCGGGCAGCACTGCGTGAGCTCGGGCGGGCTAGCCCAGGCTAGTCGGGTCGGGCGAAAGGGGGGGTTTGGGAAAGGGGGGGTTACGAAATCTGCTGCATGTAGCTTGTTTTGGCCCCGCCGCCGGGCCCATTCCTCGATACATGGGCGCCTTCCGGCGCCGGGAGGCGACGGGAAAATCAGCTACGCGAGCTGATTCTCAACCCCCCCCTTTGCTATCCCCCCCTTTCGCCCTGCCCGAACTAGGTCCGCGACTCGCTGCCAATCGAGCTGGTCGGGGTGCGCACCCAGTGCTGGTTCGAACACGACGGGGAGAAAGGGAAGTTGGTGGCGGCCGCGACCTGGATAGCGTTGGGCTGCGACCTAAGGCCGAGTGAAGACCTGGCTCTCGCTGCGGACCGCGTGTCCTAGCTCTGGCGCAAGGGTGATCCAGTCGTGTTCACAGTTGCGCCAGCTTTTCAAGATGTGCCTCCACAGTTGTTTCAACGCGACCCTTGCGGGAGCTCATACAGGCCATGGGTCGCTCAGTCGCTGGAGCTTTCGGCGCGTCGCACCTTCTCTGGTCCCCTCTTGTCTTTCTCCAGATCGTGATAAGATGCGCCGGCAGTTTCGCAGGACCCAGTTCCCAGTTTACATATAAGCATCCGTTGACGCCATATGCGTTTCGTTATGCAGGCCTCAGTCACGACGTTTGGCTTCAAAGTTGACCCTGGCAGGCTCCACGTTCGCGGCAGGAGGCCCAGTCGGCACTTGGCTCAAGCCGCCACGGGTCAAGCCGCCAGGAACCGCCCCCGATCAGAAGCCCTGCCAAGGGTGGGGTGCCGTCCTTCTCCTTCATCTCTCACGCTTTACCACTTTCGTCTCGTTTCCCATCCAATCCCATCCCATGGCGGCGCACCAGGGGTTCCCGATGGCTGCTGTCGCGCCGACGATCGAGGACACGGACGACGGCTCCGGCGCCACGCAGGCCCTGGCGACCTTGCACGTGGGCGCTGCCGCCGACCCCAGGGCGGGCCAGCCGCCCGGCGAAGGACCCGCGGCTGCTGCCCCCGCGCCGCCCCCAGGCCTCCTGCAGGAGCCCCTCGCCGAGCCCATGCTCGCGGAGCTGATCGAGCACGAGATTTTGTCGAACTTCGAGATCGTGCAGGCGGCACGCAGGGTTGACGGGCAGACGGTCGTGCCCCGCTCTCTGGATTCGCGTTCGGAGTTCACGCTGGCCTTGAAGTCGTTCGCGTACAACCCTGCGGCTGCCGACGCGTGGAGCATCCTCGGCCTCTCGCCGCTGGAGGGCCCGGACCTCTCCCTGAACACCATCGGGGCCCGCCTCCGCTTTGCCAAGCTCCTCGCTTCCATGATCGACACCGCGCCATGGCCACCAGCCGACAGGGCAGAGGCGCATGAGGACATCGCGAAGATCACCCAGGCGGCCACGACCTGCTTCTCCTCCTTCGACAGCTGGCTCAGGGAGCGCAGGCGGGCCCGCCCTTCAAAGCTCCCCCTGTGGCACGAGCTCGGCCACCGTGCTCTCCTCGCGGTCCTCGACACCGCCCCGGACGCCTCCGAGGTCGTCTGCACCCAGTGGTCCGCCCTCCTGGACACAGCCGCGCTCCCGACGACCATGCAGTACCAGGGCCGGATCGCGCCCACGAGCGAGGCCCGCATCTTGGCCGACCTGGCGGAAAAGGGCGACCCCTCCTTTTGGGACGCGGTCAGGGCTAGCGGCAAGCCGCTTTCACTCTGGGCTCCAGCTGGCGCCTCGGCGCTCGGCCGCCTCTTGGCTTCGCTCCTGCGCCGCTCAGCGGTCGAGGCGCCGTGCCAGTACATCCGCTTCATCGTCCCTTTGGACCTCCACCCGGGGTGCACCACGAGCGAGACGATCTGCGACTTGTGGTGGCACGATTTCCTGAGCGAGAACTGGGCGGCGATGATTCGGAACGTCGAGTTCCACCCGCAGCCCATGGAGTTCGTCTCCCCAGGACCCTCGGGACCCCGCCACGAATTCCGAGGTCTGGCGATCTTCACGGTATCCTCCGCCCTCCCTCGACGACACCACCAGGTCTGCGAGCTGGAGTCGCCCATCCTCACATTGGAGGCTGCCCCGACCTACGTCGTGGACTTCCCTTCGATGCTCACGGTGGAGGTCATGCATGCGTTGCTCGACGTCGCCGGCCAGTCGGCGCAAATCGGGCGGATTTACCGCAGCCCTGGGCACTCGGAGGAGACCCCGCGGGGCAGGGTGGAGATCCGGTTCGCTCTCCACACGCCGCGCCTGGAGCAGGAGTTGCGGATGCGCCAGGTCCGTCGTCTCTTGCCCGCTGGCGTCTGCTTCGCCTCCCAGGACCTGTTCACCGAGCCCGGCGCCCTGATCGCAGAACTCGGCCACGCGGACGCCATCACTTCGATTTGGAGCCTCTGCTCAGGAGCTTTGTTCCTGGGCAAAAGCCGGCTCCTCCTCACGACGGAGGCCGCCGCTGAGACGTGGCAGGTGACGATGGACACGCTCATACGCAACGACCCGGACACCGCCGTCTACAAGCTGAAGCACCGGCCTTCGCGACATGGAGGGCGGGCATTCTCGTCCCCCTCGGCGCTGCTAGCGCGGATCGCGGCCACCCGCCGTGCCAAGACGTCCCGCGGGGCCTCGTCGACGACCCCAGCCATCGCGGACGTCACGATCACGGGTCGCCTCCACGCCGACGAGCACGCCGTTGTCCGCACCCTCATGGACCACCTGGTCTCCCAGACAGGCCTCCAGCTGACTGAGCAGGCAGACGGACCGAGCAGCAAGGTCGGCACTTGGAAGTGGCTTTCGGCCACAGACCCTTCGGCGCCGCCTGGCAGATCTCGCCTGTTCTTGAAGGACCTAGCTGAGGTGTCTCGGATCAAGGCGGCCCTCCACGACAAGACCATCAAGATCGGGATGGACGCATTCCGCCTCCAGGTCCACAACGACCTGCAGGACCGGCTACGGGGCGGCAGTGCCGTCCAATGACTAGCCCCCGCTGGGGCCGTGGCCTGGGCCATCGACGGCTCAGGATGCATGTTCCTCATGCTGGACGTCGCACTGTACCTCCTGGACTCCCCGCAGCCCACGAGCCACAGAGGCCACGCCGGCGCCGAGGTGAATTCGATTGCCGCCGCCGCCAACGTCTCTCATCTGCCACCTCTTCTTTTTCTTCCGGCCCCTCATGAACATGTTCTCCATGAGCGCCGCCACTGCGACGTCCCGCTGTCGCTTCGCCAGCGTGCGCTCCTCCGACGGGCACTTGGCATTGCACCGCCGACCTACGTTGCGACGCCTCCGACACGTGCGACCCCAGCCAGTACGTTTCCACCAGGGGCAGCCGGCGCTGGTCACCCCTTCCGGGGCGATCTCTCGGTCTGCACCTGGAACGCGCAGGCGCTCTTCGCTAAGCACCCCATCCGGCAAAGCAGCAAGTGGAAGAACCTCGAGCGTCTTCTTCACCAGCACGACGTTGTGATGATCACTGAGTCCCACGGCACCGAGGACTCCACGCTGTTGACTGCGGCCCCGCACGGCTCCCAGGCGTGGTGGGCCCCTGGGACGGTGCGCCGCGGAGGAGTCGGCGTGGTTGTTAAGGAGTCGTTTCTGGAGCACTTCCCGCGCCGAGACTGGGTCATCGTGCACCCAGGCCGCGCCGCTGTCCTTCGACTGAACGGGCCTCTCGGCGCCGTGGACTTCCACGTGACCTACTTCCAGACGGGCACCGCCACCGACTTCGCGGCCCCCTCGGAGGCCCCGGTGGAGCCCCAGCACGAAGCGGAGGTGATCCCGCTCCGCCAGCAACGCGCTCGTCTTCGAGCTGCAGTCGCACGGAGCACACGTCCAGCACACGAGGCGCTGTCCATCATCGCCGGCGATTTCAATTGGGTCGCCGAGGCCAGGGGCCGCATCTGCAAATCCACGGGGGCTCCCACGGGCCAGCGGGACCGACAGGAAGAGACCCACTGGTCTGGACTTCTACCTGCCTTCTCCGAGGTGCACCAGCCCTGCATGACGCACGAGTCCGCCCAAGCGCGGTCCCGGCTTGACAGGGTCTACGTCAACCTGGAAGCCACCGACCTGCTAGACCGCCAGATCACAATCGGGGTGGACGACTGGGCCTTCGGCGTCTCCAACCACCGCCCCGTGTTCTTCGCTCGCCGCGCACCCCCGCCCAAACCAGCTGCCAGCAAGCCCATCTCGCTAGAAGCGATCCGTCGCCCCGGCTGGGCACAGGCCGCGGCCCTCCGGTTCCAGACCCTCTGCGAGGAGAACTCCGCCACTAACGCCGTGCAGTGCCTCGCCCTCTTGCGCGTGGCCATCCGCGACGCGGCGACCACAGGGGACGCCGTGCCGCGCGCGGCCCGCGCGGACTCCCCCGACGACCAGATGGGCTGCACCATGGCGTTCATTCGGGCCGTCGAGTCCCATTCCACATCTGCGATCTCGGCGGCGATCGAGCGATGCCCGCACCTCTGCTCCTTGGTTCCCAACCCGTGCGACCCTGCGCTGGCCGCAGGCCGCGGCCTCATCCCGGTTCGCGAGCACGCGGTGGAGTTGGCTCGCACCCACGCGATCGCGGAGCTCACGCGGTTGCAGGAGGAGTCGCTCGACACCCCCCCGGAGGTCTTGCACCGCGCCCGGAAAAGGAACCTGCGCCTCCTGTCCCGCCTCTCGCCGGGAAGGGGCAAGTTCGTTCAAGCGACCCGGGGCGAGCATGGTACGCTTCACACGCAGCCCTCTGACATGGCCTCGGGCTTCAGACGGCATTGGGAGAAGGTCTTCACAGCGGGGCCGACGGATCGAGCACTCCGTCGCCGCTGGTTCGAGGAGGACCTGCCGCCTGACGCTCGCGCTTCCTTGCCCCCTGTGGATTCTCCCCGGTGGCAAGTGCGGCGCGACGACATCAAGAAGGCGATCCGGTGCTCGGGGTCATCGTCTCCAGGACCTGACGGGATCCCCGCGGAGGCGTACCGGCAATTGGGCGAGCTGGGCGTCGACGTCTTGCACGACGCATTTTCTTGCTTGTCTGGCCCCGACGGCGAGGAGCTCCAGCGCCGCCACCTTCCCGACTTCAACTTCTCCCTCCTGCACCTCCTGCCCAAGAAAGAGTCGGGCTATGACGAGGTCGCTGGCCATTTCTACGACGCGGACAAGGTGCGCCCGATCAACGTGGTAAACTTCGACAATCGCATCTTGGCTAACGCTGCCCGCTTCCGCCTGGAGGCAGTCTTCCAGCATTGGGTCTCCAGGATCCAGCGGGGATTCGTCGGAGGGCGCTCTCTCCTTGCCAACGTGATCGACGTCGACACGGAGATGCGGTTCACCGCATTGTCTCAGGAGGACGGGGCTTGCATCTTCTTCGACTTCAGGGCGGCGTTCCCGTCGATCGACCAGTCCTTCGTGCTGGAGCTGCTGGGCTGGAGTGGCATCCCGCCGAGCCTCGGCAGGTTCGTAGCGGCCCTCTACCGCGACAACGTTTGCCAAATCGTCGTCGGGGGTCACAGGTTCGAGGGGTTTGCGCTCTCGGCGGGCGTGCGGCAAGGCTGCCCGCTGTCCCCGCTGCTGTTCGCCATCGCCGCGGACCTCCTACTTCGACGGCTCCGCCGGCTCCTCCCCACCGCCACCCCGCGGGCGTGCGCCGACGATCTCGCCCTCGTTACGCCCCACCTGCACCTGCACCTCACGCAGCTGGAGGAGCTATTCCACGAGTATGAAATGATATCCCGCCTGGCGCTGAACACGGGCAAGTCGGTCGTCGCCCCCCTACGCCCGGTCGACCTGACCGAGCTCCGGGACTCGATCGCAGCCTGCGCTCCCAGGTGGGGCGCGATGAAGATTGCGCACGCCGCAGAGTACCTCGGGTTCACCCTCGGCCCCAGCAGCGAAGGCCTCTCGTGGGACAAACCGATGGAGAAATTTCTCGAGAGGGCCGCCATGTGGGGGAAGGTCGGCTGCGGCTTCCAGCTCACGCTGCTCGCTGCCAGGATCTACCTCGTCTCTGTGCTCGGCTTCGTGGCACAACTTCTCCCCGCCCCAGCGGACTGGGCTGCTGTCGAGCGCGAGGCGGTGGGCCGTTTGTTCCCGGGCCCGCGGGGGTGGATCTCCCCGTCCATTCTGAGGGATCCGAGCTCGATGGGCTTCTCCGGCAGCATTCCCGAGCTTGCGAAGCTCTCGCTCGCGGCCCGCTTCCGCGTGGCCCGGTACGAAGCCACGAACGAGGGCGGCCTGCAGACGACGCGCCGGGCCCGGGAGCTTCGCAGGGCCATTGCCGATTGCGACTTCGAACTCCGCCGGGCGGGTTGGGACAGCTGGCTCAAGAGCGCCGCCATCTTGCACTTGGACGCCGCCATCTCGCACTTCGAGGAGTTGGGCTGGACTGCGCGCCGGGTGCGGGAGCGCATTGAGGGAGCCGCCGACACGGAGCTCGACGACGACGCCCGCGCCAAGAAACGCCGCAAGTTGTGGCAACGGACGTGCCTCTCCATCGCGCAGGAGGCGTCGGTGGAGGAGGCGGAGCGCTTCTGGCGGCGCCGGATGCAGCGTTGGCGCCTCGATTTTTTGCCGCCGGCCAGGCGCGCCCCGCGTGCGCGGCAGGTCATTGGCACCCTTCGGGCGGCTGCCCCTCCGCGGGTACGAGCCGCTCTTTTACGCACATGGTTCAATGGGTGGTGCACGGGCCGGCGCTTCCAGCAGCGCGGCTCTCGCTGTGTTTTTGGGTGCGCTTGTGAGGATTCCATTGGGCACTATGCAGGTTGCCGGGTGGTCCGGGAGTTCGCGTGGCGGAGCCTTGCGATACCTCGTTCCACGACGCCCCTCTCGGATTTCCTCCTCCTCTCCTCCTCCCCGAGGACCCTGCCGGCGGACTTCGTCCTGCGCTTGGCCATTCGCACCGCGGCGGTGTACTTGGCGCGCTGCCGGGCGAGACACGCCGCGGAACCCGGAACGCCCACCGCGGCGACGCTCGGGCAGATCGTATTGGAGCTGGTCCGCGGCCACCCCGCCGCGTCTGCCGTTGCGCAAGCGCACGCGGGCGCGCGCGCACAGCAGCCACGCCGCCGCCGGTAGCTAAGGTTGCTGGTCTCCCCCCTCGCTCTCCTCCTCTCCCTCCCCCCCTCCTCCCATCTGGGTGCTGCGCTGGACCAAGGCCGTCTCCTGGGGCGGAAATTCGGGCACTTATTCCTTGTGCACACGTCTTTCGCACACTCCGGGAGGAGATGCTGCCAGCCAATTGTGCAGTCGTGCTGTTGCCCAGTTCTTGGGGATGCCAGCCCGTCGATTTATCGTCCGCCAGCGCGTAGGAGAACAACCAGTGTAGGCCGACGTGCGCACCCATAATGCGGTGACGTTTACTCGGCCGGCGCTGCCAGGTTGTCGGCTGGCGAGGCGCCGATTCGTAGCGATGCCGTGCAAGCTATCGTGTCCCTTGTCCCGGCCGCGTGGCCGATGGACTGGAGAACGTTCTGCGTCGTGCAGCCGATTGGTGCTGCGCCTCTCCCTCCTCTCTTTCCTCCCGCTCTCGCCTCCCGGAGGCGGATCGCCGGCTTGCCCTGCTGGGGCGGGCCTGCTCTCCGCCTCCTCTGCCTGTCCCTTCCTCGCTCTTCCCCGAATGCTGGAAGCTCCAGGTCTGGACAACTTCTCAATCGAAGGACTCCGCTAGAGCAGCCCGCCGTTAGTGTGGCACGGTAGGTCGCCAGTCAATCCCGTCTCCTTCCCTCCCTCCTTGCCGCTGCCGCCGCTGCCGCCTCTCCACCTTCTGATAGCGTGATGGTGCGTTTGATTCGCTCCACCGGAGCTGCGCTCGCGGGGGGTTCCCGAGCGCTGGGGCATGACCAGTCTACGGCCCGTTTTGACAGATACGTTTTAAGTGGGAATTCGTATCGGGAGGCCCGTGCTGGCTAGCGCATTCGCCAGACCGCAGGTCGACTCCCTCGTTCTCGTCCTCCTCTTCCTCGTCCTGCTCCCCCTCTTCTCCTCTCCTCCTCTTTTTTCTTCGCCTTCGTTTACGTGGTCATTCACGGAGCTCGGGCTCTGCTCTGAATTTTGGCGTGGTCGCGCGCTACGGCTCGCCTATTGCAGGTTGGCCCGAACGCTGCGCCTGTGTAAAAAAAAAGGAGGCCCAGTCGGCGCTCATCGATTGCGAGACTCGAAGCCCGCCGGCCTGGTCAGGAATGCTGCCCTCCTCTCTCGCCCACAAGCTCAGCACGCCGAGATCATCTCTAAGCGGCGCTCCCATCGCAGATCCTGGATTTGGGGATATGGGCACGGGCACGGGCCGGGCACGGGCAGGCAGGCCTCTGGTGTTGGCCTTCCTGCACTGCGTGGTGTTGCGCCCCCATCTAAGATCATGCGCTGCCATGGTGGCAGGATGGCATTCGCGGCAACATTCCGATGCGATGTTCTCGAGGGGCAAGTGGTCACATTGAGCCGCGATTCGGTCTGGCAGCAGGCACGAGCAGGTAGGCCTACAGTTCTGGCCTCCCTGCACCCTTGGTTGCTGGTGCGCTCCCTTCAGGATCATGCCGTGCCGTGGTGATGAAGTAGCGTTTCTTGTGGCCAAACCCGATGCGGTTCAGTCAAGAAGCAAGTGGCCACACAGCGTTGCGAGTTACGGTCCTGTCACTATTTTTACCGTTTGGGATTTCTCTCTCTGCCGCCCCCGTCTTCGTCGGGGTTTCAGCCGCTTCGCGGGGTAAAAATGGTTTGGTGCGCGGCGCGATGTGATATAATTATATGTCATTATAAATACACGTAGCAATAATACGAATACGAACAATAATAATACTAATAACAATAAGAATAATAACAATAATAATACGCATGCTAGTAATGATACTCACATTTAACAGTGTAAACATATAGATGATACCGGAGAAACAAAAACCCTATCTTAATCTTTTGAGGGCTATAGGTCCATAGGGCTATGGGGCTATAGGGCCTTAGGTCTATAGGCATATAGAGCTCAAGGGCTATAGGGCTATAAAGCTATAAGGTTATAGGGCTGTAGGGCTATAGGGGGATTGGTCTGTAGGGCTATGGGGCTATAGGGCGATAGGGCTATAGGGCTGTAGGCCTATAGGGCTATAGGGCTATAGGGCTAGAGGGCTATAGGGCTATAGGGCTATAGGGCTACCGGGTACCCAGGCACTTGGGCACCCGGGCACCCGGGCACCCGGGCGGGCCGCCGAAATCGGCGACGTAGCTCCCGGGCACCCGAGCATTTGGGCACCCGGGCGGGCCGCCGAAATCGGCGACGCACCTCACCTAACCATATGAATCCGCTAGGACCCCTACAGAGGCAAGCTCTGATTGGGGAACCGAGGGTTCTGCATCCTGCGGCCTTGCTGGGGATCATCGTGGAGCCATCCTGGGGCGTCTCGGTGGCCTCGTTGGTCGTCTGCAAGCCAGCTTCAACCGTCTTGGAGGCATGAGATGCGGTCTAGGGCCCCGCGTGGGCCGTCTTGATGACCCCATGTGACTTTCTTGGGCCAGTGTGGGCCTTGTTGGTAGAAAGGCCATGCGTTGTGGACGACGATCAGTGGAGAGAAAACATGTTGCCAAATAGTTTCCAAATGTCAAACAATGTTTTAAACATGTCTTAAACACGTAACAAGCACGGTTCACACATGTTTAGAACATCTTTTCGACATGTTAAAGATTGCCAATGCAATGATGAGATTGTCAGGGTGTTCATCGTCATGGCATCTACAAGCCATGTGGCAAGCCGACGCACTTAGAGACGCCCTGAGTTTCCTTGAGTTCGGAGTCTGGAGCCTTTCGAGTGCATTTGCAATGGCCCATATCGAGGATTCGGAAGGGCCCGATGCCATTCCACTCAATGCCTCGCAGCACGGTGGCTGATTTAGAGGGGCAGCTGTGCAAATAGGCCGTTACATCCCGTCTGGCCATGGTTCCCAGGTTTCCAGGTTTGTTTGTTATTTTGTTTTGTTACCTGGCCCGACAGTCTGTTCTGGCATCCCTGCAATACCCCCCTCTTGCAGACCCCACTGCGAAGCGTATTCTGTCTCTGCAGCCACGTTGGATCGAATCGATTTGTTTTGTGGTGTCGGCGCACCCAGTGGTCCCATAGCTCCAGCCCGATCCTGCAGGTTGAACCATCATGCTCAGCACGACGATGCCTCGGACTGAAGGTTGCGACAGGTGGCTCTCCACTGATCCTCGGTGCAGCTCCAGGGTTCCAGACGCCCGCGCCGTGGCGGTATTCTCCACCCAGCCGACCAGCACGCCGCGCATCAGGCAGCCGCCGCACTGGGGCGCAATGCCTGCGCCGTCGCCGCCCCGGCGAGCGGCGCAGGCGCCGCCACCGGTTCTGCACCCTCCGCCAGGGTTGGAGGGCTTCTGCGGCGTTGGCAGCGGCAAGAGCGGGCCCCCTGGCATTTTGCTGCCACCTCGCCGGCCGCCCCCGGGCCTCTGGTTGACTGGCGACCACCACAGAGTTCGCGAGCCCACCGCTACCCCTGAGAGCGTATCTACCGAAGCGAGCTGCGCCGAGACCAGGGACGGCTACCCAGAGTCGGGCTCCGACTGCCCCACGGCCGACACCAGCGGGGCGCCGTCGCCGGTGCACTCGCAGGGCCTCGATGCGCCGTGGGCGCCGCTGCTGGCAATGCCGCCCGGCGCGGCGGCGTGGCCGCTCGCCGTCGAGCCCGGAGTGGCGCCGCGGAGCTCTCTGGAACGCCCCACGGGCGGCTCCGCGAACCCTCGCCTCGGCCCCCGCAGGCTCTGTGCGCACGAGGGCTTCCACAGCGACGCCGCCTGCCGCTCTTGCCACCCGTGCGGCCCCAGCGTCTACGAGATCGGCCAGCGGAGCGGCGGGTGCCGTGAGGCCTGCGCCGCAGCTCTGGCGCCGCGCTGAAGGTGGGCGCCAGCGCCGACCGCGCCGTCCACGTGCTGAGGACCAGCTTGCACGGCGCGCGCGTGCGTGTGGGGCGTGCACGCGCCCGCCCCGACACTGTGCAGGCGGGCGGCAGAACAGAAGGTGCACTGGCCGCGTGAACCGTCTCCACGTGCAGCCCTCGAGGGAGGGGAGGGGGGGACGGAGGGAGGGGCCGGCGCAGAGCGCCGCACGGGAAGAGCGGAGGGGGGAGAGGCGCAGGGGGAGGAGGAGGAGGAGCTCGTTGGAGGCAGTCGGTCGCGGTCGTGAAGCACGCCACATTCGGGCCGGGCGAAAGGGGGGATTGGGAAAGGGGGGGTTACGAAATTTGCTGCATGCAGCTGGTTTCGGCCTCACCGAGGGGCCCATTCCTCGATACATAACCGCCTCCGGCGCCGGGAGGCGCCGGGAAAATCAGCTACGTGAGCTAATTTTCACCCCCGCCCTTTGCTATCCCCCCCTTTCGCCCGACCCGACACATCACGCCACGGTTCTCTCAGCACTTGCGCCCCCCTGCCGCCGTGCGTTCGCTTCTCCTACGGGTGCGCCTCACGAGCACGAGCACCCGCACCTGCGCAACCACCGGCGCGAGTCGCCAAGGGTTGCCTTTTTTGAGGCGGCCGGCCGCGCCTTTCCTCCCCCGCCTCCTTTGCCTCCCCCACCTTGCATCGGGGGCAGCGTTAGAGTGAAGTGGGGCACGTCCCTCTACAGGCGGGGTAGTAAAAAATATAATGAAAAAACCAGGGGAAGATGTTTCGATTAGATCTGCTTGTTTTTTGAACATGTTCAAACTGCTTTAAATATTGTTTCTTCCAAACTCGCGTTGTAGGAGGTCATGCCTGACCGAACGTTTCGGGGGGGTAGGGAGGGGAGGGGAACGCTTCGGCCCCCGATCGCCCGTTCGTCGCGGGTGGTGGCCCGACAATTTGTCCAATCCGCCCAGGAGTGTGTGCACGTCGCCATCGGGGGCTTATTTTGGGAAAGGAAAACGAAAACACACAGACACAAGTAATCGTCGAGCCCCAGGAAATTTTGGGACAATATCTGGGAAGTGTGTGTGTGTGTGTGTGTGTGTGTGTGTGTGTGTGTGTGTGTGTGTGTGTGTGTGTGTGTGTGTGTGTGTGTGTGTGTGTGTGTGTGTGTGTGTGTGTGTGTGTGTGTGTGTGTGTGTGTGTGTGTGTGTGTGTGTGTGTGTGTGTGTGTGTGTGTGTGTGTGTGTGTGGTGGGGGTGTGGGGGGGTCGACGAAAGTCCAAGAAATAAGGGAAATATAGGGGATCCTGGGATTTGTGTGTATTTATTTGTGTGTCCATGGGCCCCCTCACGATCGCCGATCCATCGACGATGTATGTACCGCCGATGCCAGGTCGATTTCTCCCCCCCTGAGCAGGTCCATCCCCCGCTGTTGCCCCTTGTTTCAATCCCCTTCCTCCGCCTCTTCTCCGCTCACGTTTATCTCTGCCTAGGCGCCGCAGCTGCTGTGTCACAGTTTTTGCGCTGCCGGAAGCCTCTTCCGGTCTAGAGGCAGTGCACTAGGCGTTCTGTCTGTTTCGGCCATTTGACCGCCGCCGATGTAACGTTCGGTAAATACTACTTCTCAGAGAGCTAGCGCAATGATTATGTTTTCACTCCTGGAAGCTCACATTCAGTATCGGCGCTGGTATATCCGTGGTCGAGGCACGGCCTAATCCAGCCGAAGTAATCCAACATGGTACAAGGAGGCCGGATTCCTCAATTCGGCTTAACGGTTCCTTCCTCATCAGAGTGCGAGAGATGTTGGTTTGTTCTCGCGAAGGCTTCCCAGGAGATGCTCCCTCGGAGTGATGAGACTCGAAGAAGGAAAAACGCCATAGACAGAAACTTTCGGCGCTCCGCGCGGATTTCTTGGATCCGCCCTTGGGCCCCCCTTGGCGGCGCCTCGGGCGCCGCCCCTGGCGCGCTCCGCGCGCCAGGGAGGGGGGTCCAGCGCAGATCCAAGAAACCCGCGCCGAGCGCCAAAAGCCCATGTTCATGCCGCCCTTTTCTCCTTCTCCTTGCTAGAGCTGCGAGGACGCAGGAGTGGGCCGAGAGAAGAGCTTGTGCAGAGAGGACAGGGCACGAGCTCCACGCGCCCAGCGGGCTTTTTTGTGTGCCTGGCCCCCCCCCTCCTCCTCCTCCTCCTCCTCCTCCTCCTCCTCCTCCTCCTCCTCCTCCTCCCTCCTCCTCCTCCTCCTCCTCCTCCTCCTCCTCCTCCTCCTCCTCCCTCCTCCTCCTCCTCCTCCTCCTCCTCCTCCTCCTCCTCCTCCTCCCCTCCTCCTCCTCCTCCTCCTCCTCCTCCTCCTCCTCCTCCTCCTCCTCCTCCTCCCTCCTCCTCCTCCTCCTCCTCCTCCTCCTCCTCATCCTCCTCCTCCTCCTCCTCCTCCTCCTCCTCCTCCTCCTCCTCCTCCTCTCCGCGCCGCAGCCCGTCCGGAGACGAGCGGCGCCGTGAGCGGGAGGCCCCCGGCAGCACCCTCTGCCGCCGGCGCCATCCGCGGAGCGGATGCCGGCACCTCCTTTCCGGCAGCAGGCCATGGGGGCCAGGCATACCACCGCAGGTCCATTCTGGATGCGGGCAATGCATACAGTCGGGGCCCTGAAGAAGGAACCCTTTTCGTTGGGGAGGGGCTCCGCGTTCCTTAAGTGTGTCGCAGCTTGCCACAGGTGTTCCTTACATATGTTGTCGATCGGAAATCGAAGTTTAACGTATCGAAAAAAGGGGCCTCGTTCCTTATTTTGGGTTCCTTAGGTCAAGGCCCCGACTGTAGATTCGACGAGCGCGCTCCACTACTCGCAAAGTAACTCCTCGCAGATGGCCTGGATCCCCCGCGGGGGATCTGCGAGAAGGCACATCGAAGCAGACCTGTGTTTTTCGGACGTTTGCGAGCAGGCACTGTGCGAGTAGCAGAACGCGCAAGGCGATATATCCACATCCTGTGCGTCTTAGAGTTTCGGGCTCTCCTCCCAAAAACATGAGGCGCACGGGATAAGGATGAACATCTGGCTCCAAGGGGCTCGATCTTTATCCGTATCCAGTGCGCCTCGGCCTTGCGGCGCCCCTTCCAAGAAAGTCCAAGACGCACTGGATATGGATATAAGTATTGCCCGCAATACGATGCACTACAGTCGACTAGCGTGTGGCATCCGATGAGGTAGCGCCCATTTAGCGATGACTAGCGTAAATGGGCGTCGATGTGCGTCGATTCAGTGTCGATTGGCGTCGATTCGCAAGGGCCAACAAGACGGTATGGGAGGCTCCCATGAGTTGCCGCAGAATTTTCTCCGCAGACGACTTGTGTGCACCGCACCGCGCTGGCGTCTCCCTGGGCGTCGTCGATCATCGACCCAGGCATTGTACGGTGCGCAGTTTTTCGGCCCTCCAAGCTGAGAAACCTTGCACCGTACCGCTTTGGTCCAGGCCTCCCAGATGGGGTCGGAGTAGATCGGGGAGGAGCGTCGCGCCGCATTGCCGATGCATCTCCGATGCATTGGCGATGCAGCTCCATGTGGGGCCCAGTGTTCTCCACGCCGACGCCGCCGATGCATCGCCGACGTCACTGGTGCATCGCCGATGCATGACCGGCACATCGGCGACGCGGTGCACTTTTACGACCCCATCTGCTCGGACCCCATCTGGGAGGCCTCCAGTTGCGGCGGGCCCTGAACGGAGTCTGGGCACGGTGCGGTGCATGGGCGCCATACTCACATATTTCCTCGGAGCACACAGGCACGCAGCGCAGGTACCGAGTACATGCTGCGTTCGCCGAGGGCGTGATCGGGGTCATGAGCTCGCGCGAAGGCGCCATAAGAGCGAAGTTTTTGGCGGTGCGGCGGGCCCAGCGCCAGCAGGCCCTGCACAGCCGCAGCCGAGGCAGTCGCCGCGTGCTTCTCCCGCCGCCTTCGTTCGCGAGCGCCGGGCGCAGGCGCGAGAGTCACTCCCGTGAGGTGCGACGGTTAGATAGTAAGTACAGTCAACGCGCATAGTAAGGACGCGCGCTTTTTCGAGAGTATCTTTGTCTCCTTGCCTCTGCGGCCCGTCCTTTGCCGTTTTCACTGGCCAGCCTTTCAGGGTACCTTTTGGTCGCCCGCTGCCTAACAAATACCAATTTGGGCCTCCAAGGATCTTGCGTCCTTACCACCCGTCCATGTTTTACGTTTTCACTACAGTGAATTACAGGTGGTTCCGCTCGTCTTGGATTGAATGCACATCGGCGAATCGTGCGGAAGAGCGCTCGATCGCGCCTAACAGCGCCCGCTGGCGCCCAGCAGCGCCGAATAGCGCTCCAATAGCGCCCGACACGAGGCACAAAAACAGGTCACGTGCAACCCCCGCGCGCGCGGATTTCTGAAGTTGGCGCCCGAGACCCCTGGCGGAGCCTATGGCGCAGCCAGCGGCGCGCTTTACTCAGGAGGGGAAAAAACACACAGACACAATGAATCGTCGACTCCCAAGAAAATACGAAAGAAATCTGGGAAGTGTGGGGGGGAGACAGAGACCCAGAAAATATGGGAACTATGGGGAGCATTTTTTTTCCCGGCGAAGCCGGGTGAAATTCCGTGCCCGCCAGCGGACTGATGACTGACTGACAGAACGTCAGGGGACAGCTCGGGAGACACATTTCAAACCGCCCGCGGGAGCGCAACCCGGCGGCGCAACCGCAACCGCGACAGGGCGACACATTTCAAAGCGCCCGCGGGAGCGCGCAACCGCAGTTGCAGCCGCAACCGGGCGACACATTTCAAAGCGCCCGCGGGCGCGTAACCGCAACCGCAACCGGGCGACACATTTCAAAGCGCCCGCGGGAGCGTGCAACCGCAACCGCAACCGCAACTGGGCAACACATTTCAAAGCGCCCGCGGGCGCGCAACCGCGGGAGCGCGCAACCGCAACCGCAACCGGGCGGCACACTTCAAAGCGCCCGCGGGCGCGCAACCGTAA